TATGTATGTATATAAATTTTTTTTTTTGGCAAACATTTTTATATTTTTATTGGAAATGTTTTTGTTATTTTGCGTCAGAAGGGTACGTACAGAGATCTCAAAAGTAAAGAGAGGGCTGTCTTCAGTGTACTGGAGAATTTAGGAATAGGAGGGCTTGTGAGGAATTTAGATGTAGCAGTGATCAGGGTGGGAGCAAGGTGCCTGGGGACAGGTTTGTGGTATTTCAGAGTAAGTAGTAGGCTGGAAAAATGGCAGGAAGGGACAGCGCTCTTCAGAAAACGGGATAGGCTAGAGGTGGAAGGCATTATGCTGATGGCGCCTACCACAATGTGGTCAGAAAACAGTGGGGGAAATCAGGTGAGTTATCTAGTCTGCACTGCCTGCAGGTCCCTAAACCTGATGCTGTCACAGTCCTCATATTGTATCTCTTTGAATAAGTTTCAGGGCAGAATCTCAGAGCCCCTTCTCAGTAGGGAGAGAGGCAATCCTGCTGCTGCCACAGCCACTGCTCAGCCTGCTCTTCTGCATGGTGAAGGGTGGAGGAAATTCCCGATGATATATGGCGCAAGTCTTGCAGCAGTATAGAAGTCCAATTGCAGGAGGTCCTTGAGTACATTTTTGGGTCCAGGTCCTCAAAAGTCACAACTCATGGAGTAGAGCCCGTAGAATGTGGCTTTGACATTCAGGTTGCAAAAGAGGTCTCGAGGGTTTTGCTCATATGTGTTGAAGGTGATGAGGGTGATGTCTTTGCTGTGCTTGGGCTTCTCCCAGCCTAGGCTGTAAGACAACACCCACTCCTGCTGGGGCTCCAGCTGTGTCCCGACTCCTGCACCATTAGGCATATGTCATCTTTTAACAGCTGGAAAAAGTCTTTGCTTTCTACTGAGATCCCAGTGTTAGCATTCCACTTAGTCACATGTTATCCTGGCAGGTGGCAGCTGCAATCACACTCATGAAAGGTGGTTAGGAAGGTGGAGCTCAGGTGCAGACCCTAACTCCAAACTCATAGCTCATGTTTAATACTGACCTGTGCCTGGAGACTGTAGCTACCTTCATGCTTCCCTGTTGGTACCCTTGACTCTGGTGCTGTTCTGCGGTGCTGGCTAGGGTGCCAGATGGTATGGGTGGGCTGGCTGGTGAGCACTATTGTCTGGAATCATATGTATTCTTTCCTCCTTTACTCAGTATTATATTTTAAAGATCATCTATGTAGTTGCATATAATTTTATTTTATTCATTTTCATTATATATTATTCTTTGGAATGAATACAACAACGACCTTTTATTTCTTCTATTGTTGGTGGATGTTTGGGTTGTTTCTACTATTTGGCTATTATAAGTGACATTGCCATGAACGTTTTTTTCATGTGTTCTTTTTTATATGTGTCAGGTGGAAAAATTAATATATTTTCAGCTTAAAGAAAATTGATTATAGTGGTATTTTAAATTAATTTAAGTGAGTACATGAGAAATTTGTTATAAAGTCACATTAAATATTGGACAAAATTCTGAAATGATTATAATTTCTTTCGCTCTAAGCCTTAAATATAAGTAAAGTGAGCCATAGTTTGTGGTAGTTTAAAGAAATAGTATACATATAGGTAGATAGATATAACATAGATATAGGACCTAATGCAATAGCTCTGTGTTTTACTTTATTAGCACATTTATTGTTTTCTATCATGTTATGTTTTCTATAACCATTTTACTGATGAAGAAACTAAGGAGGGTTAGAGGGATTGAGTCACTTGAACAAGGATATTTAGCAAGTTGGAGCTAGAGACCAGACCAACCTGTATACTTAGCAGTTGCAACTTAAAGAAAACAAAGTGAAAAGTGAAATCAAGATATTTTCTTGAATGTGTCCAGCCATTTAAGTGGAAAATTTGCCTGACTTGCTTTCAGAAATTATCAGATATTCTTTTGACTATTAACCAAGAACTGGCTTAGCACAGGGAATATTATGTTTAAAGTACCCAAAATGTTATTGCACCTTCTCACAGTTCAACTTTCAAAAGTAGAATATTCTAACTTTGAGAATTTTACTTCGAGTAATTCCTCATCTATTGGGCTGTTGTTAATGAATGGTATATTCCTCATCCGTTAATTTTGTGGATAATTGAACCTTTTCCTTTAATGTGCCAAAATTTGTTCTGTAGGAATGTTTTATAAGATTCTTCTAAAATCTGAAATTTACCCTTCCGTTTTCCTAAGCAGGACAAACTGAGTATAATTAAAATTTTTATTTTGTTTTGTTGGCTTAGAGTCGTCATTGTGAACATGAGTCATTTCACAGAATTTATGTGATTTCCTCAGAGATTGTTGTGCTGTGTAGGACTGTTCTAAATTGTACTAGACTGATAAGCTTTTATGTCCTGGGTACTACTTGTGATGTGTTTTGTTTTGTTTTGTTTTGTTTTGTTTTGTTTTGTTTTGTCTGTTAGGTAATTCTTGTCTTTTGCTAGCAATGCGTTAATGTCGACTCTAATGTTAAAATCGGCATTTGCCTAACATTATAGTTTGCTAGGTGAGAGCTTAAGGATGGTTCTGCCCTATCTTCTAACTAGGGACATATATGGCAGCTTTTTAAATTTTACATTGAAGTCTGCAACTAGACTAGTCACTTTGTTTCAGGGGACTGAGATTATTTTACAACTAATTTCTGGATGATTGAAATGAAACATAGATTGCATATATTGGTGTATTCTTATTTGGGGAATAAAAATTATCATGTACATGTTTTTTTTTTACAAAACAGTGATATTGAAACTGGATTTATTTAAGGATTCCTTCAAATAAGAAGTCCAATGGACTTAAGTGATTGTTTTTAATTATAAAATATTTGATATGCTGGGCAATGAAATAAAAACAATGTATTAGGTGACACTACCCATTGAAAATGTCAGTCATAAAGATTAAACCACCTTTGAAATGATAGCTTTTTAAAGGAAAATATAGAAATAACATGAATTTGGCTTCAGGAAAACATTCATTTAAAAGTGAAATGCATTTGACTGCTTACCCAATTATAAACTGTTGAATGTGAATTAAAAAATACTGTGGAGGGGTATGTTTGTTTTTAGATGACAGGAGTATTGGGAAGATAGACAATTGCTATCCTAGGGCAATAGGCATAAATATGATTTCTTAGTGAGATTTTTTTTTTTAATTTGAAAATTTATTTGCTCTTAACCTTAATAAGTCAACAAATTTTACATGCACATTTAGGGAAATAAAAGAGTTTCATGTAGTTAGTTTTTTTTTTTTTTTGCAATGAGAACATGTTTGAGAATTTGCCTTATGAACAAAATATCTTGGAGCCCCAAAGAGAGGAATAGCTTTTTCTAGGATACATCTGAGATCCGTATGTAGTGGAAGTGCAAAATGACACAACTCCCATAAATTGGCAATTTCTAGAAGAAGATCAATGCATTTACTCATTTGTCTCAGTACCAATTATGGGAATTACAGATATACTTGTGTACTTATAAAACGACATGTATGGGAGTTTTCACTGTCAATTTTTTTTTTGTAGTAGCAAAAGATTGGAAACATCCC